TGGGCCTCAGTGGCCCTGCACAGGAATGCACCTGCAGGTGTGGGAAGAAAGCCAGTCACACGGAGAGGGGCTGAGTGGCCCTGACTGAGGAAGTCAAGTTGCTGTTCCCTGACGCCCTCACTTGGCTCCACAGAGTCCCTGGAGACATTGACGAAGTGAACGCCCTGAAGCTACAGGTGGACCAGTGGAAGGTGCCTACAGGTCTGGAGGATCCCCACGTCCCTGGTGAGTCCCCAGCCCCTTTGGTAGCAGGAGCAGGCTCAATCCACACAGTTCAGACGGTTCTGCTCCGCCGGTGATGCAGCAGCAACCCAGTCCACTGGAGGCTGCTCCCAGTCGTCCCTCCAGCCTGGCCTGCTCACAGCAGCTATACAGCACCCCCAGGGCGATCCTGGCATAATCCTCCAGGCTTCCAGGATCGGTCCAGCTCCTCGGGTTCCTGACCTCACTAGGAACTGGGCCACCACAGCCTTCGCCAGGCGGACCTTTGCCAGTCTGATCCACCTGCCAGCCCCTAGAGTGGTCTGCTGCCCCGCCCCCACACAGCCCCTTTCGTGCCCCAGTTGCAGCATCAGGAAGGGCTCCTCCACACTGTGCTCTGCTCAGGGCTGAGTCCGAGCTATGTCCGCAGCGTCGCTTCTGAAACTGTGGTACCGAGAGCTGGAGGAGCCCCTGATCCCACACGAGTTCTACGAACAGTGCATCGCACACTATGAAAACCCCGAGGCGGCCGTGGCCGTGGTGCATGCACTGCCGCGCATCAACCGCCTGGTGCTGTGCTACCTCATCCGCTTCCTCCAGGTATGTGGCCGCCCCCTCCTCAGACACGTCCCACCGGCATTCCTCTCACCTTGCACCTGGCGCACCCCTACACTCCAGGCAGGCTCCGACCCCACCATCATACTGCCTGCATGCTCCACCCCCCAGGCACTCCCCATTTGCTGCCCCCACCCACCAGCCGGTGCCCCCATACAGGTGTTCGTGCAGCCTGCCAACGTGGCCATCACCAAGATGGACATCAGCAATCTGGCCATGGTGATGGCGCCCAACTGCCTTCGCTGCCGATCGGATGACCCACGTGTCATCTTCGAGAACACTCGCAAGGAGATGTCGTTCTTGCGCGTACTCATCCAGCACCTGGACACCAGCTTCATGGAGGGCGTGCTATAGCACGTGGGCTAAGGGACTGAGGGTGGGGACAGAGCCAGGCTCGGTGGCACCTGGGCCAGTGAGCACTCGGGGAGGGGGGAGGGAATGCCCCAGCTGCGGAGGTAGCATGCCAGGCTCCGCCCATGCCAGCCCCAGCCCTGGAAATCTGCCCCCCATCTCCCTTTTCTGGGCCTGAGGGCTCAGCCAGGGCAGAGGGACTGCCAGAAGGGTGCTTCAGGCCCCACCCATCTCGCGGCCAGTTTGAGGGCTAGGCCCCCAATACCCCGCCCCACAAAGCCAGCCACCGGTCGGCCCTGAGAAAGTGCCTTCTGTTTCCTGGAGCCACGTGATACTGCCCCACCCTGGCATGCCCTAGGGCACAGAGCTGCCTCCCCAGGGCTTCTGTGCTCAGCCTAGTCTTGGCCAGAGCCCTGCCAGGTTGCCCCTCTCTCCCTCAGTCTCCTGGTCTGCAGCTTTCTCCCTCCCAAACCCCTGCCACCTATTCCCCCTGCCACTTGTGGCCTCCACTGTAGTGACTGCACAGGAACTTGGGGGCTCCAGGACACTGGGCTGTCCACCATCAGAGCCAGGCCCAGCTGTCCCAGGGCCTCGCAGACTGTCTCTGGGTGGGGAGCAGCCCCCAAACCAAAGTCCTCCGGAGGGGCAGGCATTCTTGGGGCATGGTGGGGGAGGGACGAGAGTATTTTTTCTTGGTGTAACTACAATTTAGAATCTATCCTGCAGCCCAACCCGCCTGTGTATAGAGATATAAATAGAGGGAAAGCTATAAGAACTAAATTTGCTAATTACATAGTTTTAACCCAAATGTTATTTATCTCCTAGCCTTCCTAGCCCATCCTCTGTGCAGAGCAAGTTGTCATTCCTTTTTTTCTTATCCACTTCTTGGCTTCTGACCAAAAAACAGACCCTGCCCCATTCCCAAGGAGACCTGCAGCGGATGGGAGGGAAGGAGCTGAGGTGGGGGAACAGACGGTGCCCAGGACTGCCCTTCCTGGGGGCCGGAGCTGGGGAGGGGAGGACACCTAAACTTTTAGTTTGTACATTTTCCATTTTGGAATTTTTAGTTCCAATTATAAAACTTAATTTCTCTCCCTACTTTATATATATATATATATTTTTAGAGTTGAGTTTTTATTTATTAAAAAGCCCAGCCCTGCAGAGGCCCCGGTGTCCCTGGGGGTGGGGGGGTGGGTTGTGTCCTCAGTCGGATGGTCTTGGGGCCTGGGCAGGGGCGACTGGGCCACAGACCCTTGCCCTGACGCATGGACTCGAGAGGTGACAACTCTGTGAATAAAGTACATATGGAAACGCGAGCAATGGTCGCTGCCTCTCGCCTCCCGTTCCTTCTGGTAGCTGTGAGGGTTTGGGCAGTCCCCAGCCTGTTGCTGATGTGGGCCTCTGGAGGGTCGCTAGGGGAGAATGCGGGAAGCGGCAAGTAGGGGGCGGGTTGGGAAACAGCTGCTTTTCCGGGGTTGGGGCGAGGTGACAAGCCGGGAAGGAGGCCCCGACCTCAGGAGCCTCTGGCTTCAGCCACCTCGGGTATGTAACTTGACCCCAAAAGCCCAGCGGGATAGCCCAGGGGTGAGCTTTTTCTGGTCTTTCCCCCAACCTGGCATAGGCTTCTAGACAGTTTATTCAGCACCTAGTCGGATACACTGACTGCCGTACGGAACTGGCTTTCCTAAGAGGTCGGAGAGAAGACAGGCACGTAGGGGTGCCCGACTGCACCCTTGCCTCACATCCGCACCCGCCGGTAGGGCAGACCACCCCCACAGGCCCAGCAAAGAAAGAACATCCGGCTCGCCCAGAGTCCAGGAGTCTTGGGAGGCAGGGGGACCCCGCTGGCCGAGCTCGATCGCCGTTGCCGGAACCCAAATTGCGAGGCCTTGACCACGGGCGGACGCATTTTACCGCAGCGCCTCCACCACATGACCCAACGGCTGCTTCCGGGGCCGGAGGAAGATGTGGCCGGTGTGCGGGGCGCTCCGGGCCTGGGCCCTGCCCTTGACTCAGTCCTCCGGGGCCCGGGCCTGCGGCGGGGGTGCGGGTGTCTCCTACACCCAAGGCCAAAGCCCGGAGCCCCGCACCCGCGAGTACTTTTACTACGTGGATCATCAGGGCCAGGTGGGCTGGAGGCGGGGCCTGGGAGACCCCGGCGGGAAGGGGCGGGGCTTGAGAGGACCCCTGACGGCCGGGCGAGCCAGGAAGGGTGGGCTAAGTCTGTTAAGTTAGTGAATCCCACCACGTTGAGCTACGACAACGCGCTGGAGAGACTGGGGCCCTGGTCCCAAACATAGATTGGTTTCCAACTGACAACTCCACACATGGCTGCACCTCGCGCGCTTTGCATGCCCAGTCCCTTCCCCATCTTTCAGCCACCAGCCCTGGGCTGCCCCGCCTTCTTTGGAAGCCCTGAAAGAGACTATCGCCACTTCCAGGAGGCGGCCTCCGCGGAGGAGGTGGCGCATCTGATTAGAAACATGGAGGAGGGGCGGAAAAGGCTTGCCACTTTAGTGAACCTGTGCTCGAAGAAGCACGGCTCCGGGTGCGGGGTAGATACGGGGAAGTTGAAAGGGTAGGTTTACCTACTACGCGCCTCTCTGTATATGGTGTGTACAGACGAGCAGAACAGTAGTCACAAGCCTGGGCCCAGGCCAGCCCGGACCTCCCCGCCTTGGGGAGGTCTTGCAGCTGGGATTCATGGGCTACAGCCTGTCCCTCTCTGCAGCTTTTCCTGGATGACTCCAAAATGAAGAACTTCATCACCTGCTTCAAAGGTATTGCTGCGCCCTCCTCCCCCACCTTCCCTCTCCCTTCGGCGAAGGTTTGTGGAGGGCTCCGCTCCCCAACCCCGCCCGCAGCATGGGAATGGACATCCTGAGCTCAAGAACACCCCCCGCCCCCATCTAGTGTGAAGCCAGGGCAGCCCTCCGACCATCGACTACTGGCGCTGGCCCTTAGGATGGCCCAGGGCGAGCCGTTTGCCTGGGGTAGCAGGGCCTGACATGGTGAACAGTCCCCTCCTTCGCCTCCCCAGACCCGCAGTTCCTGGTCACCTTCTTCTCCCGTCTGAGACCCAACCGCAGCGGGCGCTATGAGGCCTCCTTCCCCTTCCTTTCTCCCTGCGGCAGGGAGCGCAACTTCCTTCGCTGCGAGGACCGGCCGGTGGTCTTTACGCATCTTTTAGTGACGGGCCCCGGGGCTCCGCGCCTCTCCTACTGCGGCGGCGGCGAGGCCCTGGCCGTGCCCTTTGAGCCGGCACGTCTGCTGCCCCTGGCCACCAACGGGCGCCTCTATCATCCAGCGCCCGAGCGCGCGGGTGGCGTGGGCCTGGTGCGCTCGGCCCTGGCCTTCGAGCTCAGCACCTGCTTCGAGTACTCGCCCGGCGCGTCCGCACTGCCCTCGCACGTGCGTTGGCAGGGCCGCCGCCTCGCCCTCACCATGGACTTGGCCCCACTGCTGCTTGCTGGCCCCACCCCCTGAGCATCCGGCGGGAGGCCGCGGGTCCCCAGGGCCCCAGGCATCTCTCCGGCCCGCGTCGCTGCGCACGCGCCACCTGGAGCGCGCGCCGGCCAAGTGCGCGTGCGCGGCGGAGAGCACCCTCGGCCCCGCCCCTCCCGGCGCTGTCCTAGGTGCTGCCGCGGGCGGTCTCGACTGACGGCGGGAAGGGGCGGACTCCGGAGCCTTTCTCTCCACACCTCGTGCCTGGGGTGTCCTCTGGTTCCGACTGCACTCGGGACGACAGGCCGCGGACACGGGCGGGAGGTGCTGGGCTCCAGTGCGCGTGCGTGAGCGGCGCCTGCCCCTCCCCCGCCCGGCGCTGCTCGGTTGGCCGAGGCGCCGCGGGCTCCGCGGGGGAGCCACGCCGCGGGAGCGTCAGGTGAGGGGGCGCCCAACCCAAGGTCAGGGGAGGTGAGGGCGGGATTGAGGCCATCCCGTGTCTGTCCACGACACGCACCGAGAAGGACGTGAGACCTGGCGGGACCACGCCCTGTGCTCGAGGGGTCACGGGGGACGCCGTGGGGGTACGAGAGTCCCTGCTCGCTGCTCACATTGCGCCAGACCAGGTCGCAGGCCTTCCTCCCTTCTCCCCCAACCCCACACAGGTGGGCGTCTCAGAGGCAGTGACAGCCGTTACGAAGCCTAGGCATGATCCCTCACCCCTGCCCAGCCGGGTTAGGGGTTGTCCGCTGCGTAAAAGAATTTGCGGCCCGAGGCACTTCCCGCCTGGGCCCTCATCTTTGTCCCGCTGGCCCGTCGACACAGATCCGCATCTAGGGGTGTCCGCGTGAGCAGCAGTACCCTGAGTCCCGAGGAGGAAGCCAAGAACCTTATCTACTGGAGAGGCCTTGACCTGGAGGCTAGGTGTGTGGGCAAGCCCCAGGGTCTACCCTTTTGCTCAAGGAGATGAATGCCAGGAGCCCAGAGAAATCTCCCAGTTTCTTGGGGTTCTCACACATCCTCAGACACCTGGGAACTGCCTCTGCCTGGGCCAAACCTATTCCATTAAAACTTTTGCTGTGCCTACCTCATCTCTACTGACTTTAAATAATCATGAGTTACACATTAAGGCAAGATTTAAGCAAACACCAAGGAAGGCTACTTGGTACCTTTCTACATGGCTCACTCTGGGTAGCAGGGAGACATGGTGATTGGCGAGGGACGCAGGGGGTGGGGTGGGGGCCGTCACAGTGGCAACCTTTTGAAGTGGGGCTTGAGTGCCGTCCCTGGCTGGCTTCTCAGCCCAGACCCCCATCGTTAAAGCTGGACTCATTGTGCCTGATGGTAGACCCAGGCTTCCCCATGGCTCTAGGTTCACAGCTGCATGTGTATAATTCTCCAGTACACTGCACATCTGTTCACAGTCCAGGTCACTACTGAAACACACTAGAAACCCAGTTGGTGGCCCAAAGGCCCTGTTTCACACTCCAACCTTTCCAGGGCCCCGCTGACCCCCCAGAAAAGGCACCTTTTGGGGAGCCAGCATGGAGAACACAGGCCTGTAGTTTCTGAAATGATGTTCTTCCCTGTTGTTTGCCTCATCACCCCATTCTCTAACAGGTTCCCTGAGAACAAGCCTTCATTCCAAATAAGCTGTCCCACCCACCCCACCCTCAGGGCAGGGACAGGACAAGACAGTGCCTTGATTTTTCTGTGGCTGGTGGCTCCCCTAAAACCAATTTTGCCCTTGTCTCCTATCAAGTGGCAACAGGTGAATCGCCCCATCAAGGGACAGAACATGAGGCTCGGGGATAAAGGACCAGACTAAGGGTGGGTGGAGGTGAGGACAGGGACACTGGGAGCACTAAAGGGGCCTGTGCTCTATACCACACAAGGTCTCATGCCCAGTTACCAGAGTGAGGAATCCACATGCACAAGGGGACATGTTGGCCTGGGCCTGCTTTATGTCTGGCCCTTGCTTGGGTAACTGGGCCCTGGATTTCACCATCCACAGGCTCCCGAACCCATACCTTGCACCAGCTTCTTGCACCTTAGATCCAGAGAGTGGCTGGTTGCCACGGTGTAGAGAACAGCACTACCCAGGTGTCCACACACCTGAATAGGAAGCCTCACCAAGCCAGCAGAGATGGGATGGTGGGGTGGCTCTCCATATGTGGCCTGTGTGTGAGACAGAGGACATCAGAAATTCTACATTGGAACTCGATGATGCTGCAGATCCTTGACTATTCTTGTTAAAGAAGAAATATCTTATCAGTTTCTTAAACTGATAACTTTTCAAACATTAGACATGGTGTGAGCTTCCATTCATGCTCTTCACTGGCTCTTAAGTGTTAGGGGAAGGCCTGCCAAACTGTGTTTCAGGAGGTTCAGCCCATCCAGGGCCTGACTGTAGGGAAACTGGTGAAGAGGCTGCCGCTTTGACTTTGTGGTCCGCAGCAAGTCTCTCAGGAGATGGCCCCAGGGGTTCCTGTACTGCTGCTGCTGTTGCTGTTGCGTCTGCCCAGTCTCCCACCCTGCACCACTGCTTGTCCCGCCGACTGCCGCTGCTACAGCACCACGGTGGAGTGTGGGGCCCTGCGGCTGCGTGTGGTCCCCCCCGGAATCCCACCTGGGACACAGGTGGGAACTGCATGGGGTTGCAGGCTAAGAATGCCCACAACAGGAGGGAAGGATGTGTATCTAAGTGGGTAGATGGGGACTCTATGTTAGAAGGACACTCCCTCAGGACAGTAAACACCTGCCAGTCCTCCCTCCCTCTGGCCTGCAGACACTGTTCCTGCAGGACAACAGCATCGTGGGCCTGGAGCCGGGCACCCTGGCGCCCCTTGCCGCCCTGCGTCACCTGTACCTGCACAACAACAGCCTGCGTGCCCTGGAGCCGGGTGCCTTTCGTGCACAGTCTCGCCTGCTGGAGCTCGCGCTCACAGGCAACCATCTGCGAGGCCTACGCCTCGGTGCTTTCGCTGGCCTGGCCCAGCTGCGTGTACTCTACCTGGCTGGTAACCAGCTAGTGCAGCTGCTGGATTTCACCTTCCTGCATCTGCCGGTGAGAGGGTGTGGGGGAAAAGGGTCATCCTGTGCTGCCAGCTGCTCTGTGGACTGGAGTGGTTTAGGGGACAAAAGTCAACCAGCCTAGCCTGGTAAGGAGACACTTCCCTAGGGCCCCTGTCCCTGACCGTCTGCTGTCCTCACTTCAGCGCCTGCAGGAGCTGCACCTGCAGGAAAACAACATCGCGCTGCTTGAGGACCAGGCCCTGGCTGGGCTTTCCTCATTGGCACTGCTGGACCTCAGCAGGAACCAGCTAGGCACCATCAGCCGCGAGACCCTGCAGCCCCTGGCCAGCCTGCAGGTCCTGCGCCTCACAGGTACCTCTTGAACAAGGGGTCTCATGCAAAGGTATCCTCCTTGACCACAGTGCTGGCAGTAGGGAGGAGGCTCAGGTGTTGAGGAAGCTCCAGTGCCAGTGGCTCTGAACAGCAGACTCTTGGGCAGCCCTGCTAGGAAGGTACTGGAACGCTGCTAGGAAAGGGGGTGCTGGTAGGGACAGAGCTTAGGGAACTTCTGTAAGAACAGAAAAGGTAGAAGTCTGTAAACGGACTAGACATGGTTGAGTGGCTTGCACACTTTGGGGCCATCAGAGGGTGGGCAGGCAGAAACTTGGAAAGATGAGACCAGGATTGGGGGCATTTCCAGGAGAGCCCGAGACAAGGCTGCCAGGATTTGCGAGGTTTTAGTGATGGTGAGATGTCTGTGTAGACAGAAGGGTTCCACCCAAATAGTGGTACTTGATGAAGAGAGATACTTCAGGACAGGAGGAACATGCACAGAACTAAAAGGGTGAGGGAACAGCCTGTCTACACTCTGAGGAGCTCAGGATCAGAGGAAGGGGTGAAAGGGACCCATGACACTGAGGGGTGGCAAAGAGGCTCCTGCTATAGCTAAAAGAACCCCAACTGCACAGGCTGTGTGATGTGCCGCAGCCCCTAAGCCACCTGCCCATCGCTGCTCTGTCCACAGAGAACCCATGGCGCTGTGACTGTGCCCTGCACTGGCTGGGAGCCTGGATCAAGGAGGGGGGTCAGAGGCTGCTCAGCTCCAGGGACAAGAAGATCATGTGTGCAGAGCCCCCACGCCTGGCACTTCAGAGTCTCCTGGACATTTCTGGTAGTAGCCTCATTTGCATCCCGCCTTCTGTGCACGTTGAGCCGCTTGAGGTGACGGCCAACCTAGGTGAGGACCTGCGGATTGCCTGCCAGGCTTCCGGCTACCCGCAGCCTCTGGTAACCTGGAGAAAGGTGGCACAGCCTCGCGAGGGACAACCACGAGCCCAGGCCCGGCCAGAACGCTGGGCGCTGGGCTCAGGTGGGCATGCGGCCCCTGACACCGGCAGCGGCATGCTCTTCCTCAGCAACATCACCCCGGCCCACGCGGGCAAGTACGAGTGTGAGGCCTCCAACGCCGGCGGCGCCGCTCGCATGCCCTTTCAACTCCTGGTCAACCTGTCCCAGCAGCAGTTGCAACTAGCACCTCGGCCGCCCCCGGCCCCGGGCTCCGGCGGCCACGAGCCCCTGCACGAAGTGAGTAGCATGGCCTTCCGCGCCCTGGGCCTGGCCACGCAGGCGGCCATTGCGGCGGCCATCACGCTCCTGGCCTTCACGGCGCTGCTGCTGGTCACCTTGATTTGTCGCCGGCGCCGCAGGCGGAAAAAGGCACCAGGACCGCCGGGGGAGGGTGCGCTATTTGTCAACGACTACTCGGACGGGCCCTGCACCTTCGCGCAGCTCGAGGAGCTCCGCGACGAGCGAGGCCACGAAATGTTCGTCATAGACCGCTCTAAGCTGCTCTTTGCCGAAGGTCCAGCGGAGACAGCAGAGGGCGCGGAGCCCACACTCGGGCCCGCGCAGGGGCTTCCGCTGCAACCACCCACCACCTACGAGATCCACTGCTGAGGGGCGGGGGCGGGGGGGGGTGGCGCGCCATGATGACATAAGCTCTGCGGATTGGCTGGCTGGCAGACTGGCTTCGCGCATGCTCCAGCGCCGTCAGTAAAGGGTCGATGCTGCGCACTGTGCGGCGAGCTGTGTGTGAGGTCTGGGGACCCCGAGGGTGGGGCGGGGCGCAGGCACCTGAAGACCCCCACCTCTGCTGATAGTCCTGTAAGGTAACCGTCGGATGGTTAGGGAGGTTCCGACATCCCACTGAGATCCTCCAGAAAATCCCTCCCACCATCACACCAGACTCCAGCTCGCAGGGCCTGAGTCACGAGTGGAGATGGCGAGGATGCCTAGTGGAGGGGGAGAGCAAACTGGGAGGCAGCTGTTAGCCAAGGACATGCCAGGGTGACAGCAGTCAGGGGCAACTCACTCTAACCAACTGTAACAGAAAGAACAGCTGCGAATTTAAGTTCCAAATACACTGCACATTTGTACCTTAATGACACCCTCTGGCCCCAAAGCCCAGCCCACAGTATCCAGGGTGCCAGGGCACTGAAAACCATAACAGGCCCAAGTGCAGGAGGACCAAACCCCCCTTGAGGCAGGTCCCTGTCCCAACCACATCCCAGAGCAGTTTTCTCTTGAGAAGGACCCAGAGAGACACCCTCTCTCTCAGAGCTGGGAACATTCTGAAGAGGAACGGGACAGCAGAGGATAGCCAAGTACAGCCAAACCAAGCAGGAGCGGGCAGGCCTGGAATCCAGACCTCAGGCCCAGAGACAGGTGGCCAGTCATGGAAGCAGATGCAGAGCCACTGTGCAGGGCACCACAGAATGCACAGGGAGGTTCAAGGTGCACCCAAGGAGCAAGGAAATCAAGACCAGTGCCTTGGTGTCAGACTTCCAGCAGGGTCCCAGCAAAGGCTCTGCCTACCCAGGAGGGGTGGGGTCTCCAGCAGCCCTGGACTCTGGGACAGCCTGTTTCTCACCCAAAGCCCAGAGATCACAAGCTGAAGTAGTCTGCGGCCAGGCGCCCGTAAATGTCCGTGGTCCAGACCACATGGGCACGACCTGAGGCCAGAAGCAGCTGGTGCAACTCAGCCTCCACACGGGCAAATTTCTCCTCATTGATGGAGGCCTCCAGCAGAACAGAGGCAGGTGGTGGCCAAGGCAGACCCTCATAGCAGTCCACAGGGAAGGGGTGCACCACAGTGCGCAACTCAGCCTGTGCCACGGAGTCCCGAAGGAGCTCCTTGAGGCCAGCCATGGATAGCGGGTTGCCGTAGAGGCCGAGGTAGCGGAGGCTAGTGCAGCGAGTCAGCACCGGGAGTGTGGCCAGCAGCTGGGTGTCAGCAAGCTGGCATTCGGTCAGCTCGAGGTGCAGCAGTGTGGCTGCTGCCGCCTGCAGCAGACCCTGGAAGGGCTCCAGCTGGCTGCCAGACAGGTCATTGCCACTTAGATCCAACTTCTTGAGGTGGACAGCGTGGGGGCTTCGTGCCAGGAAGCGCAGATCCTCAGGCAGCAGAGCGCAGAAGGCCAGCTCCAGGCTCTCCAGAGGGCTCTGCAGCGTGCTGTAGGGAAAACAAGGGGTCGTGAACAGGCAGGGCCAAAGGAGGGTCTTAGGGAAAGGAGGAGTAGAACAGTAATGGGGCCCACACACCTGAGCAGCTGGTCCAGCCGCCCTGAGAGGAGAGAGGAGCCCATGCTGAGCTCCCGCAGACAGGTGAAGCGGCCCATCTGGGCCAAGAAGTAGCGGAAGTTGTCCTCGCCATCCACAGAGGGCTGCCGCGAGTCTCCATGCACATAGTGCAGGCGAAGGCTGGCCAAGTGCTGAAAACGGGCCACGTGTGGAATGATGACAGATAGGCCACGCAGGCCCAAGTTGTTGAAGCGCAGGTCCACGCGGCGCAGGCAGCCTGCATCCAGAAGCTGCAGCAGGGCCACGGTGTTGCGCATGGGCAGGTCCTCAGCCCGCAGGTCCCGGCAGCAGAGCCGTAGAGGGCTGCCTGCACTGCTACGGAGGGCCTCTCGCAGGAACGCATAAGAGGCCCGGTTCACGCGAAGGTCCACACGCACCTCTACAGGGACAGGGGCTGGCCCAGGCTCCACAGTCCCCCCCTGCTGCTGTGCGATGCATGTGCGGGCCACAGCTGCCGTGCAGTCCCACATGCTCATGGTGCCGGGGTCCTGCTCCACGCCATCATCCAGGAGGCCGGTCATGTCCAACACCCGCAGTGCGTGCTTCCTGGGAGCATGGACAGGCTGAGGCAGGTGACGAGGGGAAGAGCCCACACCCACTCCCAGCCACCCTGGGACAGAAGCAAGCAAGCCTCTTCCTGCAATGAACTCTTACACCAGCCTGAAATCTCTCAGGGTACTCTCTTTGAGCCCCCCAAGCCTGAAGGCCCCCCGGGTGAGCCCGTACCTGCAGAAGGGCTGTGTGCCGGCCTCAGCCTCTGGGGTGTGGAGCCGAGCTGTGAGCCCCAGGATCACGGCCTGCATACTCTCTGTGCTGGGCCGCTCCTGCAGCAGCGCCCGGCTGCAATGGGTGCACTCCTGCAGAAGCTGCTGGAAGCTCAGCAGAGGAAAGGGCCACGTATGCACCAGCTCACGGAGTACAACAGTCTTCTTGTCCATGAAGGCCACCTTGAACAGCAGGGGGAAGAGCTCTCGTGGCAGCAGGGGCAGGGCCTGGCAGGCTGCGGGCTGGCACTGGAGCACCTGCCGTGTACTCAGGAACACAAGAGTGTGCATGGCGCTGGGCCAGGTAGCAGGCCACCTGCAGGGAAGGGGCCTTCAGTGGGGAGGACAGACCACATGCCACCACCTGCCACAGACAAGAGGTAGGAAAGCCCAGCATAGTGCCTGCCAGAGTCAGTGCTAAGTGGGACCACAGCCCTGAAGAGCAAATGCTAGGTACCTAGCAATGAGGCAGGCAGAATGCAAAGGGGAACAAGGCCACCCCCTAGTCCCCACCCTCCAGAAACTGGGGGACCTCCTCAGGGACACGAAGCCATCAAACAGCACATGAGAGCATGGCAACAAAAAGGACATGCCCACCTGGGTGTGTTTTTGACAGCTGTTGCCTGCAAGGCCCCCCATATGTACTTTGGGCCTCCCAAGTCACAAAGTTGTCTGTCAGAGATCCTCCCTTCCTGAAAAGTGGAATAAAGTTCTGGCCCTTTGCACCTCATAAGCACTACAGAAGTGGGATCCTGGAAAGAGAGGCCGGAAGCTGTATCGCACTTCCCTCCCCCACCCTCCTCGGAGGATCTTGCAGGTTGCCCCCGATCTCGTGCAGAGTAGCAGAGAGCGGCTGCAAGCACACAGATGCACCTCAATAAACACCAGGGCGGGCAGAAAGGACCAGGACCCAAGGAGAGGACAGTTGGTCTGAGTAACCCAAGCCCTCAACGTGACCCCCAGTGCTAACTTCAGTGTCCAGTTGCTAGGCATGGACAGCAACTGTCACCCATCGAGGGCCTTGTCGCCTATCTAAACATCTCCTTCCTCGCTGAAGAACAATCTTGAGAAACCAAGTCTCAAACCCACTGGATTCAGAAGGCCCCAGGCCAGAGATGGTTCAATCTGTTACAGGCAGCTGCCAAAGTGGCATCCAAGCTCACGGGAGGCACAGAGAAGATGCCTGAGGGCACAGGGACCTGGGTGTCGGCTATTCTGCTGAATTAGAGCACCTATCTCCCAAACTGCCTCCCGATCATCCCCCTGAAAACGGATGAGCACTGAGAGCTAGGCCTTCCCCGGGTGATGAGCGGGGGGAGGGGAAGTCTGGACCTCACACTCAACATGAGCCCTTAGGGCTGTGGTTCCTGAGAAGCCCCGGCCGCCAAGCCTCATCCTCACTCTGCCTGTGGACAAATCTCGCGAGGACGATTCATACCTCGCTGAGACAGAACAGACCAACCGAGCACCTGTCACAAGAGGAAACGAAAGCAGCCAGTACGGTCACCGAGGGAGGAGTCTCTGAGCGGTAGCCGCCGCCCCCTCCCGCCGACCCACAGCTCCAGGCGTTTCTGAAGGCCATGCGGCAAGGCTCCACCCGGCCCTATGGGAGGCGCTCAATCCGACACCGCCCTCCTCCTCCCGGTGCGTCGCCCCCGAGGCCCGAGGCCGCTCAGCCCGGCGCGGGAATCCGGATCCGTCCCTGCCCCACAGCTTCACCACCCGGGCTCACGCACCCTCCTCTAGTGCACTAGCAGGGCCGGGAGTGCACGCCGCCGCGCTCCGTCCCCCGCAAGCGGCCAGCGCTCACCGGCCCCGCAGCCGCCTCCACCGCAGACAGCCCCACCTCGTCGTGAGCCGCGCCCCGCCCAGCGCAGCCGCGCGCCGCGATGACGTAATCTCCCCTTATAGGTTGCCCCTCCAGGGCCCCAAGGATTGGCCGCTCCAGCTGAGCTGCCACCCTCGCGGCGGGAAATTCGTGGGGCGCGGATCCCGTGGGACCCGCGCGCCATGGAGCGGCTGCGGGACGTGCGGGCTCAGCTGCAGGCGTGGGAGCGCGCGTTCTGGCAGCAGCGCGGGCGGCGTCCGGGCCAGGTGCGGGCTCCCTGGGGGCAGGGGTCTGAGCGAGCGGCCGCCGGCTGACGCACTCCCTTCACAGGAGGACGTGGAAGCGGCGCCCGAGGAGACCCGCGGTGAGCGCGCGGGGAGGAGAGGACCGGGGTGGAGAGGACTGCGGAGTGCTGGAGCCCAGCGGACCCACCCTAACCCCTGACTCCGTCCCTAGCGCTCTACCGGGAGTATCGCGCTCTGAAGGTGGCCCTGGACCTAGCTGGCGGCGTCGGGTCCCGTGGTCCCGCGCATTCGGTTCCGGCGGCAGCCGAGGAGGTACCCGGGCCCCCATACTCTAGTCTCCCGGTTTAGCCTTCTGTTCGGCCGCGCCGAAGGAGGAGGGACAGGAGGAGTCGTGTCCCAACCCCCGTACGGCACAAAACTTGGGGGAAGGGCTGCACTGGGTGGAGATCCAGGCCCCACCTCAGGTCTCTGAGGGGATGGGAAGGTGGGCCGGAGACATCTCTGTCTCCCACACCAACCTTTCCGACCCCACTGTCTCCTGCAGATGCTGGAGCCTAGCTGCTGGGGCTCCCACCTGAATCGGGC